ATCTCATTGTGGATTTGATTTGTATTTCCCTGATGATGAGTGATATGGCGCGTGTTCTCATGTGTCGGTTGGCCATCTGGACGTCTTCTTTGGAGAAGTGTCTATTCCTGTCTTTTGCCCATTTCTTCACTGGATTTTTTGTTTTTTGGGTGTTGAGTTTGATAAGTTCTTTATAGATTTTGGATACTAACCCTTTATCCGATGTGTCATTTGCAAATATCTTCTCCCATTCTGCCAGTTGCCTTTTAGTTTTGCTGATTGTTTCCTTTGTTGTGCAGAAGGTTTTTGTTTTGATGAGTCCCAATGGTTCATTTTTGCTTTTGTTTCCCTTGCCTCTGGAGACGTGTTGAGTAAGAAGTTGCTGCGGCCAAGGTCAAAGAGGTTTTTGCCTGTTTTCTCCTCTAGGATTTTGATGCCTTCCTATCTTACATTTAGGTCTTTTCATCCATTTTGAGTTTATTTTTGGGTATGGTGTAAGAAAGTGATCCAGGTTCATTTTTCTGCATGTCGCTGTCCGGTTTTCCCAGTATCGCTTGCTGAAGAAACTGTCTTTATTCCATTGGCTCTTCTTTCCTGCTTTGTCAAAGGTTAGTTGGCCATACGTTTGTGGGTCCATTTCTGGGTTCTCTATTCTGTTCCATTGATCTGAGTGTCTGTTTTTGTGCCACCATTATATTGTCTTAATGACACTGTAATAGTGAACTGTTAAGCCGCTCCATTTGGCTTTCATTACTTACCTAGGGTGTTTTTCCTTATCTTTACACCCAGGTGCCTGTAACCTCATGCATCTTTCTATAGTTCCACACCCTGCTCTAGACTACTCTGCTGAGTTTCCACGCTTCCCAAATTCTTGAGTTCAAATGTCTCTTTCCTAAAGGTTAGAGCAAATGACAGTAAAGGTCAGCCTTCCATAGGGTAGTTTGCTTTGTCTCTTTTTTTAAAATATATTTTTAATTATTGATTTCATAATATTAAGTATTTTTCAGAAACTACAGAGAATAAAATAAATATACCTATAATTCCACTACCCAGAGATAACTACTGTTAACATTTTGCAGTGTATTTTTCTGGACATTTTTTATGCATTTGTGTACTTACATATATATAAATATTAATTTATGTAGACTTTAAAAGTAGAATTAAACTGTACATAAAAAGTAAAGTGCTCATTGTAACAAAATTTTTTTGAGAAGACAGAAGAATATAAAATGAAAGCCCTTTCTTCATTCCGTGTGTAGACTCGTAGCTTTATGGACTTGTTTCTCCCTCTGCAATAAGAGGGTGTCTTACTGTATATATTCTGCACGTTGCTTTTTCATTTAATATATATTGTGGACATCTTTCCACTGTCAGTATTTACATGTATACTGTGTTTCATTTTTCTTTCCAAACTGCTGTGCAGTGTTCCATGGTATGTTTGTAGTGTGTTTAACCATTTCCTACTGGTGTGCTTTTACATTAGTTCCAGTGTTCCACTGAGGCAAACGGTGCTACAATGAACATCTTGACTATTTCTGTAGGCCAGAGATCTGTGTCTGCTACATATACGTCTTGAGTATTTCTACAGGTTAAAGACCAATTCGAGGATTCACAATTCACATTTTGTCAGATGACTAAAAAGTGCCTGCCAAAAAGGCCTTAGCAGTTTGCACCACTACCAACTGTATATGGAAGTGCTCAAATAGATCCGTTCTTACTAGAGTTATGTATTAGCCATATTTTTAATTTTTGCCAATCTTACAACCCCACAATGATACCTTGTTTTGATTTTAAAAATATTTTTATTGTTAGTGAGGTTGAACACTTAATATTTTGTTTATTTGACATTTTTACTTCTGTGAATTGTTCATTTGTTTTTGTCTTTTTAGTGGTGTATCAGTAAGGAGGCTTTTAGTTTCAAAGAACAAAATTAAACTCAGCTTGGCTTATTAAAGGGGATTTACTGACTGATAGCTGAAAAGCACAAAGGGAGGATGGACTTCAGATATGATGCAGTTTTCCTTTTTTCTAGTTTCCTTTTGTGAAAGTCTCAGCTCTGTCCTCTTTTGGGGGTCAGCTCTCTATGCTTAGGCTAACTTTTTTCATGTTTGCAAACTGTGGTAGCTGTGCCACGCTGCAAAAGGAAAGATTTATATTCCAGAATTCCAGGCAGAAGATATGCATGTCAGACTTACTAGATTATCCCTAAGTCAATACCAGCGGTCAAGTCAATACCATGCACAATTGTTTTAGGCCTCGGTTATCCGAACCAATGATCTTGACAAAGAAAATGAAATTATTCTAATTGGTTTAAACCCTGGAGTTGGGCTGGATTCAATCCCATGTAAACGACATATGGCAACTGCATAGCGGGGGTGAAATGGATATTTGGGTGAAAACCACAGATTCCATTGTATATTATTTCTCTTTTTTCTGTCATTTGTAACAGTTCTTTATGGATTATGGATACTAACCCTTTGTTTTACTTAAACCTTTGTTTTATGTGTTACAAATATTTTTTCTGAAGCTATTGTTCGCCTTTTAACTTTCTTTTAGTATCTTTTGCTGTGTAGATCGTTACATGTTAATTTAATCATATCCATTAGTTTCGCTTTTCCTTTATGCCTTCTGGATTTTATGGCATATGTTGGAAGCCTTGCCCCATATAAGATTACGAAAATATTCTCTGACACTTTTTTCTAGTACTTTTATAGTTAACTTATGAATAATTAGATTAATCTGTCTGGACTTGATTTGTGCATGTATGAGTTATGGACCTAAAGTTTTTTCCAAATGATTAGCCGTTTCCCCCAACAAATCCATTGAATAATTCATCTTTCTCTTGTTTATTTGAAATGTTATCTTTATTACATACTTAATTCTTTTGCACTTGAGTGTGCTTCTGAACATGCTACATCCTGTTCTATTGACTAGTTTTATTGGCTCCTGTGGCAGCACTGCACTACTAGTTCCTCGTGTTGTTTTTTAATTTTTAAATTTTTTAATGTTTATTTTATTTTATTTTATTAAAAAAATTTTTTTAACGTTTATTTATTTTTGAGACAGAGAGAGACAAAGCATGAATGGGGAAGGGTCAGAGAGAGGGAGACACAGAATCTGAAACAGGCTCCAGGCTCCGAGCTGTCAGCACAGAGCCTGACGTGGGGCTCGAACTCACGGACCACGAGATTGTGACCTGATCCAAAGTCGGCCGCTCAACCGACTGAGCCACCCAGGCGCCCCAATGTTTATTTTTTTTTTTTGAGAGAGAGAGAGCGTGAGCGTGAGTGGGGGAGGGGGAGACACAGAATCCGAAGCAGGCTCCAGGCTCTGAGCTGTCAGCACAGAGCCCGATGCAGGGCTCAAACTCATGAACAGCAAGATCATGACCTGAGCTGAAGTTGGATGCTTAACTGACTGAGCCACCCAAGTGCCCCATTCCTGGTATTTCTATAGAAAGTTTTGGTATCCATTGGAGCAAGGTCCCCCACACCCACTCCTTTTTCTTTATCGACATTTGCTTGATTATTTTTATGATGCTTAAGATGAACTTAAGGGAATTTGTATCCAGGACTCATGTGGCATCATGGGTAGCTTCTGGAAACAGTGGTGCTCATCTCATGGGCCACTTTGTCTCTCCCTGGCCAAAGTCTTTTGAGCATCCCTAGGCTGGTGAGCCTGGAGTTTGGATTCCTTCATCTCTTTTCAATCCATATATCTGGAAAAATGTGATTTTTTTTTTTCTTTATTGAAGTCATAGGGCATCCTCTTTTTAGTCTGTAAAGACCCAAGAGAAGTTAAACAAGGCTTTTATATTTTCTATTGTATTTTTGTAACAAATTACCCCCAAATTTAGCAGATTAAAACAAAAATTTATTATTTCATACAGTTTTTGGGGGGTGACTTAGTCTGGTGGTTCTGACTTAATTTCTCATGAGGTTGCAATCAGAATGTTGCCCAGAGCTGTCATCATCTGATAGCTTGCCTCTGCTTGAGGGTCCACGTCCAAGCTCATGTGACTGTTGGCAGGAGGTGGCAGTTCCTCACCATGTGAATCCTTTCACAGGTGTTGGCTCGAGGTGTGCCAGCTGGCTTCCCCCCGGAGTGAGGGATCAGAAGGACCAAGAGCAAAGTTGCAGTGTTTCTTATAGCCTGATCTCAGAAATGACACAGTCACTTGTGTTGTATTCTTTTGTTTACATGGGCCACCTGCTGTATGATGTGGGAGGCAACTGTACAAGGATGGGAATACCAAAAGGTGGAGGTTATTGGGAGCCGTCTTGGAGGCTGGCTACCACAGTCTTCATAGGCAAATCTCACCAGCTTTTTTTTTTTTTTTTTTTTAAGTTAAAACATGTTTCAAAATTGAGAAATTATAAAAGACGGACAAATGACAAGTCTTCCTTACACCTTGCCCCCTACTTACTCAGTTTCTTTCCTCTTTTTTTATTTTGTAGGTTTATTTACTTATTTTGAGAGAGAGAGAGGTGGGGAGGGGCAGAGAAAGAGGGAGAGAGAATCCCAAGCAGGCTCCACACTGTCAACACAGTGACGCTCACAAACCGTGAGATCGTGACCTGAGCCGAAATCAAGAGTTGGACACTTAACCAACTAAGCCACCTAGGCAGTCCTCAGTTTTCTTCCTTTTTAATGTGTTTTTCTACTTTCAGGGATATTTTTACACAGATACAAGGAAATAACATACATTATTTTTTCTCTTTTTAACTTGAACAATACCTGCTGTCCCCTATTTTACACTTTTTCCATTTAATACAGGTTACCAATGTACTATATGGCACATAACCATTTCCTTATCTTTCATAGCTGCATAATATTTCACTGGGTGGTGGTTGTTTGGTTTACTTAACCAATTCCCTATTGACTCTTCTAATCTTTCACTGTTACACGCAGTAATGAAATGCATCCTGTCTCGTGTGTAGGTAACGTCCTTGAAATAGATTCATGGAAGTGGAATTGCTGGGTCAAAAGTTCTAGGCAACTGTAGTTGTGACAGTGAATTGCCAAATTGCCCTCTGTAGGGATTGCCCCAGTTTGCCCTCTCTACAGTAGTATGGAGAGCTCCTGCTTGTGCATACTCTTAACACACAGTGTATCAAACCTTCCAGCCTTTGCCAGTTTCACAGGTCAAATATTCTGTCTCTGTGGTTTCAATTTGCCTTTCTCTTAGGAACTTCTCTTCATGTATCTAAGAGCCATTCGTATTTCTGTTTTTATGAATAGTGTGTGCATATCTTTTGTCCATTTTTCTTACTGATTTGTAGGAATTCATTTTTGAAGAATTTAGGGAAGCAGTGTATTTTAAATATTTTTAATATGTAGGGTCTTTTCATTTTTTTGTTATTTTGAAACAATAGCGAGCTTATTAAAAATAGCAAGTGCAGGGGCACCTGGGTGGCTCCGTTAAGCTTCCAACTCTTGGTTTTTGCTCAGATCAGGATTTGTGGGTTCAAGCCCTGCACTGGGCTCCTTGCTGACAGCAAGGGGCCTGCTTGGGAGTCTCTCCTCTCTCTGCCCTTCCCCAGCTCGCTCACGCGCGCTCGCTCACGCGCGCTCGCTCTCTCTCTCTCTCTCTCTCTCTCTCTCTCTCTCACACACACACACACAAAATAAATAAACTTAAAAAAAAAAGCCGCAAGTGCAATACATGACCTTTTTTTTCTTACAGCAGTTGATAGTAAGTTGTTGACATGACACTACACCATTCCTAAATTCTTTAGTGTACATTTCTTCACATACAAACATTGCACAAGGCATTATATCTAATCACAGCATAACCTTCAAAGTCAACAAATTAACATTGGTGGCTTCATGGTCATGTCCAGCAATCTCTCTACTCCTTTGACCCTAGAGAAGGATGTAACCTCTGGAGCTGGACTGCCTGGCTTCAGATCCCAGCTCTGCCCCTTACCTGCTGTGCATCTTTGGGCAAATCACTCAGTCCCTGTGTGCTTCAGTTTTCTCGTCCCTACAAAGAGTGTAATAATAATGCTTAAAATAGTGGTTTACACACTATGAAAGCCATGTCAATGTAGCTATATTATCAGAGGAAGGATAGTTTGTAATACAGTAATTTTATAGTACTTTATAGCCACCATGGATAAGATGAGATCATAGACTATAAGCCACAAAATTGTTCAAGTAACCCAGGATATATTTTTGGTCTGCTCTTTTTAGGTTTCAGAATGACTTCCATCTTGACTTACACGCTTAAAAATCTTCCCAGTACATCAAAATGGGCCCTCAGATTTTGTAAGTATTTCTTCTTTCTTTTTAAGATTAGAGTTGGATTTATAAGTAACTTACACAGACATTGAATTGTACTGCTTTTTGTAAACAGTCTGTTTTTATCTTCCAGCTTTAAGACCTCTAAGCTGTTCCTCCCAGCTACGAGCTACCCCAGGTACAGTAATTTATAAAATAAACATTTCTGGTTTAAAAGTTAGATTCTAGATTTGTGAATTATGAATAAAAACCAAGACTAATTTGCCAATTCTCTCTTTTTTCTGAGCAACAGGAACATCACGATTGCCTTCACATTAAAACAATATAGGGCTAGCCAGTAATAACGTTACATGGTGTAGGGTTGCCAGGAGGCTACTGATGGACTCACGGCAGTTCCGTGTACCTTGCTGGTCAGTGTAGTCGGCTGTCGGTCCTGGAGATGATTAGAATACAGACATTTTGAGACAAAGTTCACTTTTTTACATTTGCGGTGAATGATGTGGGCTTCTCTGTCAATCCACATGTGGGAGAGGACCCATTCCTGAAATAGGGGTGATTGGGGAAGTCGTTAATAAAACAATGTTGTTTAGTCAGGAAATGTGTTGAATTTATATGGTCATGTAGACCCTTGGTAAGCCCAGTGTAGGTATGTAAATCTGCTGTAGGTATGTATCTTCACTGACCAGAGCTAAAAACACTCTGACGTGTTCATGCCATTATTCTCTTTGCCCGGATCCTATATTGACCTATGATTTAACGATTTTGGTTTTATTATGCTATTTCTACTTGGACGATAGCTTAATAGAAAAGCATCTTGCCAGGATTCAGAAGACCTTTACTCTGTTCCATCCAGTTCTGTCTCAAGTCACTGTGACCTTGAACTGGTCATTTTACTTCCCTGTGCTTTTAATTTCTTTGTCTAAAAAAGAATAACAATTGTAGTCTTGTTAGAGTCTCAGATAGTTATGAAGGTATCTCAAAGCACTTTGAAAACTAAACTCAATATAAGTGAAAAATGGTATTTTTAGATACATATATATTTTTACAGTTTTTTAAAATGTTTTTTTAAGTTTGTTTGTTTTTTTAATTTATTTGAGAGAGACAGACAGCAGGAGTGGGGGAGGGACAGAGAGAGAGAGGGAGAAAGAGAATCCCAAGCAGGCTCCATACTGCTGGTGCAGAGCCCCACGTGAGGCGCGAACCCACAAAACCACGAGATCATGACCTGGGCCAAAACCAAGAGTTGGATGTTTAAATGACTGAGCCACCCTGGCACCCCTATATTTTTACAATTAAAAAAAATTTTTTAAAGCAGGATCCCTGCGCAACATGGGGCTTGAACTCATAACCCTGAGATCAAGAGTTGCATGCTCCACTGGCTGAGCAGCCAGGCACCCCGATATTTTTATATTTTACATGTAGTATATTCTCAGAGGTCTATTGCCTAATCCCATCTAGCGAAGTTTAATGTTGTCATATAACAAATAGATTTCTTCTAGCCTCTAAAGTCTAGCTAGAGTATCGATTTGTTTTAGTCTCATGAAGAATAATTCCTTTCTATCTCATTTACCTTTTCCCTAATTCATATGCTTGCCCTGATGCCTTTGCTATGCAGTCACATAAATAGACCTGATTCTTGCCAACTGGGAGAAGGTCAAACCGAATACCAACAGAGGGAAAGCATTTACCCAGCATTTAGACTATTTTTCTTTATACTTGTTTCTATCTCCACAACTGTATTGCAAGCCCTTGTGAGACCTGAACCTTTTTACATCCCTGGTGTCTAACAGTGATTTCTTTTTTTTTTTTT